GTGTGCAGTTTTAGGTGTGTGTGTGTGTGTGTGTGAGAGAGAGAGAGAGAGAGAGAGAGAGTTTGGCGGGATGTTTGCTCCACAGCGACTGCCTGCAGAACCTCTCCCAGGGTCAGCGAGTGCATGCTGTTACCCAGAATCCCTCAGCACAGTCCTTCAGTGAAACGAAAAACATGCTGCTCCTTTAAGAGCATGAAACAGGAGCCGGCTGTGTGCCCCTACCAGAGACACACAGTCAGCCAAGAGAGAGGGAGAAGTGGGGTGGGGTAAGAGTTGAGGAGAGGGGTGGGGAGGATAGAGAGATACAGACAGAGTGAAACGAAGGTAATGTAAAAAAAAAAAAAAGAGGAGAAAGAGTGTGTGAGAGATGAGCGATAGGAAGAAGCCAAAGATGAGGGGCAGGAAATAAGGGGATGACTGGAATCAGAGAGGAACCAACCGAGGTTAAAATACAGAGCCGAATGGCAGAAAAGAGAGAAATTCTCCTCCATAAAGCAGTGCAGTTGCCATTATTCGTATTGTAGTAGTTTGTCGTGCTGAAAGGAAACAGTCACTGTTGTTGCTAGGAGAAAAAAGGTGCAGTCCTGTCTTATTGGCTACGAGTAGCTCCATTATCCAATCAGAGAGCTCTGGTATCAGAGAGAGAGAGAGAGAGAGAGAGAGAGAGAGAGAGAGAGAGAGAGAGAGAGAGAGAGAGAGAGAGAGAGAGAGAGAGAGAGAGGGGCACACTATAAGACCTGATTAATATGTTAGCCATGTTTTATGGGTTAAAATAAGTCTGGGAGTAAAATGTATTGATAAAACAATGGTAACATTGGAGTCTATGTTGCTGTCTTATTGCATGAGACTTTTTTAAAATAAGTATTTTTGTATTTTCCTAGGATTGCACTGTCATTTCTAAGTGTAGATGCTGGCATGCAATATTCAGTTTTTGGTTTTATATATATATTTTTAACATGCTTGCTTAACTTTGGTGTGTTTCAAGCATGTTTCTTTACAGCACTTCAACTAAAATACAATATACCTTAAAAGTCCTACAATAAGTCACAAATATAGGTTTAAATGGTTATTTTCTGGAATGTTTTTCCTCTTGTTATGGTAACCATATGTATAAGCAGCAGTGTGTTGTTAACATGTCCAGCAAGGACGTATGTTGTGTATTGTTTACTAAATAGATGTTTCTGTGGAAAAACTATTTGTTAAATCCATATTTTCACTACTGGTGGCTATTACCTCAGGTTTGGTGTGCATGGCATTAGACCATGTTATTGTGCATTCAAAGACATTTGTTGCCAACAAAATGGAAAAAACACAGGTACACTCTTTGCAAGATATTAAGCCACAAACACGCTTGTTTACTGTGCTTCGGCTCAAAATGTAAGACATAGAACTGGACAGAGACATTCTTCTGTAATCTTCAGTCTTCAACATCAGGGGTCGTCTTCAACCTTTTTTCGGCCAAGGAGCCCTGGTGGATATGAGAGATGAAGCAGACCCCCTGCTAGATGTTTTATAACACTGGCTTATGAAAACACATATAGTACAATATTAATGAATTCACATAGATTGTGAATCATCATCACAATAATAAATGTGTCTTGAGCAGCAAATCAGCATATTAGAATGATTTCTGAAGGATAATGTGACGCTGAAGACTAATGATGTTGAAAATTCAGCTTTACCATTACAGAAATAAATTCAAATAGAAAACAGTTATTTTACTGTCTTCAGTTTATAGACTGCAGCTTCATTCTGGGTGACTAAAGCAACACTGGACCTGTAGAGTGATCTGGAACTTCACATCTGGTGTTTTGGTCTGTGACATCTAGTCAGATGGAGGTCATTTTAACATTGAGCATGAATTCACATGCTCTGTAATGATACACATGTAAATTCATTTCATTTTATTTCAGCAACATTCTGTGAGCCATCAATAAGCAGCAGTGTGTTGCTTAAATGTCTTTAAAGCTATACATAAAGACATTTCAGTACTTGTGCCTGCAGTGATTACTTTTTGAAAATCAAACACAGTGTTGTATGATCAAAGTTGCTTGCATCAGGAAAGTTTAGCAGGAATCCTATTCTTTACTTTCTTTCTCAGTCCTTTGTTCCCTTCTTCGTAGATATTTGTTTCCGCTCAATGTGTCGGTAGTTGTTTGAAGTGGAGGTTCAGCAGTGGAAGCTTTGAGTGCAGGTGTCTGAGTGGGATTTGCAGGGCAAAAAGGCGAGCGCACACACATATATACACAGCTGTCTTTGTTGTGACCACCACCTGGTTAGTGTATTGGTTTAGGTCCCACCGCTGCTTTCGATCATTCATTCATTCATTCATTTACTCACTCACTTCTCGAATATTAATTAATTGTATCTTTCTTTTTCTTACACTCTTAAAAATAAAAGGAAGGTTCCCCAAAGAGCCTTTCAGAGAACAGTTCCCAAAAGAACCATTTTTTTTTCTTAGTGTGAAGAGTATTTTAATAATCTGAAGAACCTTTTTCCAATTTAAAGTATACCTTTTGTGCAGTGGAAATGTTCCAGGTACGTTAAAGGTCCTTTATGGATCTATCGATGCCAATAAAGAACCACCACACCAACATTGAAGGCATTGGTCTAGATTAGAACAAAAGCTGAAGTGTGGATGTGTAGCATCGGTGTCTCTGCTTGCTACCAATCAGAACAGTGTTTAAACCCAAAAAGAGAGGGATGGAGAGACACAGGGACAAACAACCCATGCTGTGTCTCTCACACAAACACACATACAGATACAGGGACAATAACAGCACTGTGTACGGGGAAAGAAGATCCGGCAGGTCGAGATACCACAGGAGAGCAGTGCCTCTGTCTGTCTGCATCTGCTCCGCTCTGCCTGCTGTTTGATGTGCAGGGATTAGGGGAAATCTGAGAGCTCCCAATTTAGCCGAGCCACGGAGATATTCACATGCAAAAGCACATACACTCACAAGGTGCACACATGTCTCTATATGAACTGAATGAGTGTACTATTGGTTAATGAAAGCATTTCAGATGTATAGTTTGTTGCATCGAATGAATGTATAAGGTTGTTTTTACATCAGGTTTATGACTTAACTCAGGCATACCTGCTATGAGTGTTTGCTGCTGCCTAGTGGACAAGAAAAGTATAGCCATAAGTCTCTCTGTTGGATGCTCATGTCGTCAAGATTACATAAAAGTATAGCCATCAGTCTCTCTGTTGGATGCTCATGTCGTCAAGATAACCTTAACAAACATGTATTAGAATGTGAAATGATGTGGAAAAACTGGACACTTTCCCGTTTTGCTTGCTTTGTAAATGTTTTTTATAAAAGTGGACTGTAGGAATTAAGCCATGCAGCAGATAGCATGCAAAGTATTGTGAAAATATTTATCACAATAGTTGTGATCATCAAGTTACAAATTAGAAATGTGTAAAAAAAAAAAAAACCTTAATATAATATTGTGTATATATATATATAATATATATATATATATATATATAATGAAACAAATTTAAAACATAAAAAGTAAAAGGCATAATAAAAGAAAAGCAGTCTTTAAAATGTTACTTTGCAAAGAGGTAGAAAGTTAATACAATGACATATGCTGTATGGTGATACTGTAATCTGTTGTCATTTAACCAAATAATAATTATGCTTATATTGGCACTTCTGGTTCTGTCTTAGGAATTATATTCAATGCAATGAACTTGTTTTCTTCATGGAAGTATAAAAATTCTAACAGCAAATATTAACCATAGCTGCACAGGTGTTATGCTCACGTTTGCTTTTAGAGTAGAAGAGAACAGCCTTGTATGAAACACGCAGTTCATAACTGATGCTACATTGAGCAAATAAAATTAGTTGCAAACATCGCAGAGGTGTCATATTGTGGTATAAACATACAGTCCACTATTTGAAAAATAAAAACACAAGAAAAGAAAAGAAAGACTGAAAATGTATTGAGAAATCAAATGTGTATCAAAACCATGTGAGCTTTTTGTGAACATTTATAATGCTGCTATTATTAGGGTCATAAGTATTTCTCTCTTGTGGTTCACAATTATGTTTAGTAAAGGTTTCTTGCACCAAAAAACACAATTTAGTTACATTACCATTACAGTCCTTTCTGACCCAGGATTCAATAAGCTGTTTTTACCCGCATATAAATGTCTCTTTGCAAAGCTTATATTACATTGTGACAGGTCTACAAAAGCCAGAAACAACACAATGTTTGTATCTTCCCATCTTATTATTCTTATTGTTAAATACAAACAATAGCTTCTGCTGCTGTTTAGAAATTATAGTATCTATTCTACTTCCTCCTCATTACATCACTGACTGGGTGAGCCAAGTTACTGAACACCAAATCAATAATGTGTGCGCTGTTTTTGCGACTTTGTTTCAGTAAATGGTCTTTTTTTTAATTAAATTGGTAAAATTGTTCATTCGAAATAAACTTGAATTAACGAATTAATTTATTGTATTTTAGTTGAGGTAGAATTTCTCACAGAAAACTAACTAGTAACACTTTACAATAAGGTTTAATTTTTTTAACATTAGTTAATGCATAAAATATTAGTTGACTAACATGAACTAACCATGAGGAATACATTTGTTACTGTATTTGATCATCTTTGTTAATGTTAGTTAAAAAAAAATACAGCTGTTCATTGTTTGTTCATGTTAGTTCACAGTGCATTAACTAATGTTAACAAATACAACTTTTGATTTTAATAATGTATTAGTATATGTTAACATTAACAAAGATTAATAAATGCTGTAGAAGTGCAGTTCCTATTTTTAACTAATGAAACCTCATTGTAAAATGTTACCAACTAACTGTTACTATAAAGTGTGGTGTTCTTTAAAAAAAAAATTAGATCAATCTGTGGAGGATGTCTTTGGACTAATTTCATAGAAATTTTATTCTGTTAGTCTCTTGCTTTCAATAGTAGCCGCTGAGTGGTGTATTAGCCATTTTAAAGAGCTACTTGTCATTAGATGTTATTTTGTTGGAGGGATACCAAGAGCTTCATGCACTGGAATTGAAGACTCCATGGAATCCATAAGGAATGTTGACAGGCACTTCAGCTCTTCCCAGTTCTTCAAATGTTTTGGCATCTAGGACTAAGAGAAATGTACTCTTATCCTGCCGAGAGAAGAGGACGAAAGGGTTTAGACTCGGTTTAGACAAAAGAAGCATTTATAACAAATGTAATACAATTTTATTTCTCAACTGACTTTTCTTAACACATTTCAATTTCTGAACAGGTGATGTATAGAGCTTATGTTTGTTTTTAAATGTTTTTTTTGTTGTTTTTACACACATTCAGGGTACCTTAACTGGTGTGATGATCACAGACAGGATGACTCCATCGTCCTCTTCCTCAGCATTGGGTGAAGGAATGAAGACAGGCTCTGATGGGTAGAGATCAGGTTGGCACCATACCTGTAAATCAATTCATTAAACAAACATACAAACACTCTTAACATTGTGAGCCAAATGGACAAGAAAAGTTTTACTGCTGTCATATATTACATTTGTTTGGACTTTTTGGTCATTGTAGGTATCAGTCATAGTCCCAATTTAGCAGCTATGGTCATAATTTGATCTCACCTTGAACTTTTTGCTCTCCAGATCCATCTTAATTAAGGAGTCACCCACTAGGTGGCGGAAGCCACAACCATAGTAGTATCTATAAGGTTTGGTGTTATATTTGGCATAGTTAATATGAGGAAACTCCAAGCCACCATAGTCTTTCAGGTCTTCACCATGGAGATCCTCAAACGTGCAAAATACCTGTGAGAGAGACATTATGTGAGCTGAAGAATCGCAAATCCACAAATGCACAATTTGTGACATGTATCAATCACTGTTATCTTGAGCACATAAAAATGTGAAGGTCTCTACTTAACACACCAAGTCTAAGTACTGTAGTTACACTACCGTTCAAAAGAAGTCTCTTATGCTCACAGGGGCTGCATTTATTTGATCAAAAATACAGTAAAACAGCAATATTGTGAATTATTAAAATCAATTTTTTTTATATTTATTTTAAAATGTAAGAATGCTGATTTTTAGCAGCCATTACTCCAGTCCTCATAGTCACATGATCATTCAGAAATCATAATCAGCTAATTTGGTAAAAAAAAAAAAAATCTTATGAAATTTCTTATAGATGAAACATTTCTTAGAATTGCTGTGCTGCTTAATATTTTTCGTGGAAACCATGATACATTCTTTGAGGAACAGAAAGATCTAAATATTATAAATGTATTCACTGTAAGTGTCCTTGCTAAATAAAAATGCTGACCCCAAACTTTTGAATTGTGCTGTGTGTGCCAATAGAAAGGCTGGCAAATATAAGCAAACAATACTATAGACTAAATTCCATGAAGGACTGTGAAGAAAAAACAAGCACATAACACACACATAATGCTGTTGTAACCAGCACAAAGACAACACCTGGTTTTTAGTTCGGCAGACAGCCGTGGCGGTGCTGTCAGGCCGTGTGTTGAGATTCTGTTCCAGTGGTGTTTCACTGGTGATGTTGAGAGGAAGCACAAAACGACGGGGAAGTGGCCGGCACATGGTGTTATACATCTGACAGAAAAATAGAGAGTGGCAGGACAAATGAGACTGTCATTTATGTAATAATAATAAATTGCACAATACTACTACTAATAGGCCTAATAATAATAGCAGTAGTATTGTTAACAATGTTTTTGTAATAATAATAATAATAATACACCTGCTGGCCTATAGTGTTATACATCTGAGAGAGAGAGAGAGAGCGACAGGACTGACAGAATGTAATTTATGCTATAATAACAATAATTATTAGTAGTATTAGTATTAATATAGACAGAGAAAGAGAGTTTAAGGAATATTATAACCTCATCCAGTGCCTCTCCTGTTTGACGCAGGTTCTGGACGAGGAAGTTGTTTATGGCCTGGCCGTCGTCAGAGCAGCACATGTCTAGCATGAGGAATCCATCCTGCTCAAAAGCATTGATCTGATGGAAGGTGGACAAGGCCTTGGTGTAATACTTCACTGGCATCTCCTGCAAAGAGAGATGCAGAGTAGTTGGCTAAATTGTTAAGAAATCTTTTTTTCCTTAAATATAATCTGCTAATGTATTTATGTTCTCCATCAGATTTCAATGAACCATATGAAGCACAACGAGTGAACAAATATAGAATAACCTCATAGTGCCTCTGTGAGACTATTGTCATGATTGTTGTCTCACCTTTCCAGTTTGTTTGTCAATAAGGTGGAAAATGGTTTCCTGGTTGGGGTCCCAGTAAACACCCTCATTTAGGGATTTCCCCCTTAGTTTACCAGTAACTATCTTGAACAGATCCATCTTAATGGGCTGCTCGATGAACACTACATAGTTCTCTGACATGCCTGAAAGGTTCAGGAAAATAAAATGTTATTTCAGTGCTGCACATTCATATGATCGCTCCATTCATACTATATTATTACACCATTCAGAGTGGCTATAGCAATAAAATGACACATGACTTTAAGAACATACAGTGGATGTGCAATAAAAAGACACATGATAGTGATTGTTGAATGACTGTCTAGGAGTCCTGAAGATAATAAACATGACAGATTTTCTTCTTCACTCACCAAAGCTGTGATAATAAGAGGGTTTGGATTTGTCATGAGGGGCGATAGAGCATAATATCTTGGCTCCCTCTAGAGTATCTGTTGAACCGTCTCTTTCTGGGGGCACCCTGATGATGTTATATAAAGCCCCTATAAAACACATCACAGCACAACATCATGCCTCCTAAAGATCAGTCAGTATAAAAGGAGAAGACCGGAACCTAACCTTTGTTTCCGTATGAGTTGCCCATGTTGTAAGCCGTCCCATCTGGATCAATGTGTGGATGAGCAGTAGCACCATTCACAGCTATGAACTTGCTCCAGTCCACCTACAAATAATCATCCTTCCTAAATTAGACATGACTGGTTGTTGGTCTAGGTTGGTGACTAAAAGCTGCTTATTCTTCATACCTTCTGTTTGGACTTCAGAGTATCTGGATCCACTCTGTGCATGTAGTTTGTCTCTGTGCTGACGTAATAGTCACCCTTGTATTTAACAAAGTTGACGCTGGCATTATCTGTTGGCTCTGGAATTAGAGAGAGAAAAATAAGTGTAACAAATACCTTTTATTTATTTTTGGACTTGGTGGCCTTAACCTTTTTGACTCAAAGGACCTTAATATTTTGAAGGTATTTCTTATGTAATTTTGACAAAGCTGCTTGTTTTCAGACTTTTTTTATTAACAAAACCTGGGATTATTAATTATAGGCTATTAAAGGTATGTTATATCATCAAAAGGTGTATACATCATCAAAATACCTCAATATATCATCATCAAATTTTTTTTTAATAAGTCAATACATCATCAATGCTGCTTCGTTTTGTCTTACCCCGATTCACTATGGTAAACCTATTCTAAGTGTTTATATTTTAGACCTGACGGGATGGTTTTGGCGGGAAATACGTCATTTGCCCGTGTTGCTCCGGCAAATTCCGCAACTTTGACGCATACATGTCTCGTGTATGTGGTAGTGGTTAGTTGTTTATCTCACAACGAGCGAGAAAGGTTGACATGGAACATGCTAAATCTCTAACCTCCGTGGAATCAAGCGTTTAAAAAAAAACACTGAACAGAGCAGAGTCTGCTGCCGAAAAGAGAACGCGACAGAGCTAGTAATACAGCGAGAATCAACATTGCCCTGGCTTTTTGGAGATGACAGGAACCGAGGGATTTGAAATGTTGTAAAAGTGACGTGGAGATGGGGTTTTATTACTCAACAGGCGAGTATGGTATTTTATGCCATATGAAGTAGCTTTCTGACAGAGTTAATTAAAGCATTATCTATTATGGGTTGTTGTAGTGCTGTGCTGGAATTTATTTTACCGTGTCTATTAATGGGTACAATAACGTACTCAGCTAGTCAGCTTGAGATCCTTTCCATCTAAACAGGTTATGTCTCTTGAGCCTAGTAGTGAATGTTTTATTATGAGCAGTAGGATAATCTCTCTCTCGTTTTTTAGTTATGAAAAAGACCCAAATTCATCCGCACAGTCACAGAGCCGAAGCACAACCAAAACAATATTCTTCCGCAAAATGCATGCAGGTTTTGTTTTTTTACTGTTAGAAGACTAAAGGTTACATAGTGTACCTTTAAATTAACTACAATTAATTTGGCATTTACAGAAGTTTCAAGAACTGTATATTATTCAATAAAAACAATATTTATTGAGGGGGAAATTATTTCAAAATGATTTCAGTTTCACCTTGATTTTTTTGCATTTTAATTTAGATTCGAGTTTAAATTAGATTAGAGATAACAATAATAATTTATTATTCAAACACTTTTAAGTCAGCCCTCTTAAGAAGTTTGATGAGGCCCCCTATGGGCCCCAGCTCCCTGGATAAGAACCATAGACAGTAAAAGAAATGGACACAGCGACCCCATAGATTTCAATGGAGAAAAGTGAAGCTATTAGAAGCACTCACTTCCTGATGGCTGAGCGCACTGCGCAGGCTCAAACTGAGCTTGATGACGTAGATGTGACGTGAGCAACCTGTCTGACAGTTGTACGTCTTCTAGTAGCTGTGCCAAGACAAATCTGAATTGAAATCTGAAACAAATCCGTTGTTGAAATATTTTGTCCCGTTGCTTTTATGGACTCTCTATCTATGGGCTTCTCCCTTGACTTTATGCCTCCATGTCCCTCCGATTGCCTCATAGACAGTAAAAGATTGACTGAGAGTGTCTCCTTCTGTCTATACGGTAATTTCTCTACTGTGCGACACAGATAGTCCCGTGGTTATGACGCAATCGCTAGCCTATTTTTACAAAAACGGCTTCTACGGGGCCATAACGTAAGATACAAAGTAATGGAGCCTTTTATACATTGTCGTGTTTCTTTAGAAATAAATAATGGACAAATGGAGTCTTTGGTTGCCTCAGATGTAAAGTTATTCGCTGTCAAAGTGATGCCAAAATGAATGGGAGTCAATGGAATGCTAACAGCAAGTGATTGTCTGCTACAATGGCGGCTCCCAGGGGAAGCTTCAGTTTCCGGCTGATGGATTACCCCCTTGATAAGAACAAGCGTGCCGCACAAGCCCTGAAAAGTGAAGCCAAAACGTCTCGATCCCCCCCCCCCCCCCCGGTGGCTGGTCCTAGTATAGGTCATAAACCCAGAACGGAGGAACGGAGCAGACATAGGCCACTTAAAATAAGTGCAGGGAGAGTGCGGCCTTGATTTCGCGGCTTTACTTCCTGCTCACTACTGCGCAGGTCTGGTCCCGAGATCGCTACTGCGCAGACTCAAGTCCCAAGGTGTCAGCGCCATATCGGTACACTGGCGGCTTCACTTCTGACCAATGGAAGAGAGCGAAGGGGCGTCGTCCATCTTTATTTACAGTCTATGGATAAGAACTACTGGTTTAAAATAACGAAATAGTTTTTACAGACAAATTTTTATTTACAGTATATTTCTTTTCATATTGATTTTAGTTGTGTAACCAACATATCAAAATGCAAACCTCATGATGGCATTTAGTCACACTTCCACCATACTGAGAGCTTAATGGATTTTTTTTTGCCATCCAGTGGTGGGTTTTGTTTATTAATTTCTTAAGGCATTGATCTCAAAGATGGTTGTGCAATATTTTATCATTTTAAAAGACCCATATTTAATTGATAATTATCTTAGTTATAGTGTCCAGAACATTCTGCCAGCTCCATCTCAACACTTTAGTAGTCGTGTCACTTAAGTTCATCCTAATTGAGTGCTTATGGTGTCTGATTTAAATGTGTTCTCATGATTACAGACATAGAGTTGTTTGTCTAGGACACTCTTTAGACACACTTGGATGCTTCCACTGACCACTCCTGTTGTGCTCTTGAGCAAGGCCCTCTAAATACATGCCTCTTTACTCTTTCAGAAACAGAAAGCTTTTTGTAACCTGTTTAAAGCAGACAGCTATTCATGATGTTTACATTTTCTAAACTGATTGAGATGCGTTTCACCAGCCAGCACAGCTAACCTCCTTACTATCATTCACACACATATTCAACATCTATACGTACTTATCATCTCAAATCTGGACAGGAAGCGCTTAAAAATGTTCTTGCAGGGATCAGGTAGAGCCAAAGTGCCAAACTCTGACACCATGATGCGGTTCCTCTCGCTGTTCTGCTTATACGAGTCGCTGCTCAAAAAACGGCTTCTGTATGTCACCTGACCGTCCTCGATCCGAAAGCGATGCATCAATGCCATGCCATCAAACCAGTGGTTATAGCTGAGGAAAAATTTACGTGAGCCTGAATATGCATGTTAGAGTTTGAAAGACATATCATTGTGATCAAACAAATCACAAATCGAATTTTAGAATAACAGCCTTGTGTGAAAGGTTTCATTAGTTGTCCCTAGTCTACCTCCACCACGGCATATCCCAAATTACTGAATTACACCTTTCCAAATGTCATTAGCTGTATAGCCAATTACTAACTGCTAACCAAACAGAGATTAGTTAATTTCTTACATCCTTACATTCCAGTGATGTTCTTGTAAGATAAAAAATAAATCACCATATATTAACAGTAGAATAGCCATACTCACTGCTGATTCCCAAACTCAAACTTTCCTGGACCATTCCGCAACAGACTCCCACAGATCCAGGTTGGGATGGTGCCCTTAACTGTGGTGGGGATGGGCTCAGGTGTCTCCTCTACCGAACTTACCAAGGGACTGATGCTTGGCAGCCCATGTACTTTTGTGAAGTATGTTCTGTGAGCAGCAGCTGTAAAAATTTACGATATACAAAATTTGATTATTTGGCAAGTTGACAGAACAGAAACTGTTCATAAAAATAATGAACAATAGATAATGTAATAAAGATGAATACAAAGGATCTAAAATTATGATAATGGTAATAAAATGTCATTTTATAAAGAGTACTGTCACTTTTATTTGGAGTTTCTCAGCAATCTAAACTGCAAGGTTAGCTAAGCCTGAGTTATGTTAAATTATATAGCCGTTGTAAGTAACAGATTTTCAGACTTACAACTTTGCTCTAACCATCACTATTTGGGTCAGCTAAAAGAACAAAGGATTGAAGTCAACAAATGACAGAGCTGAAATGGCAGAGTGTCAGCGATATTACAAAGAGAAGTATTACCTTTAGAAAAACAGTCCCTCTCTACACGCTCACGTGTACTGGGATACTGATACACTAATGCATAAATAATGAAGCAAATACATGGACATGCACAGACGTATCTTTCAGAGAAGTCAAAGTTAAATTAAGTTATTCATAAGTAAGCTGTGACAGCAGCTAAATTTAAACATGATAACACTCCGACTCAAAGTATATCACCCTCTCACATATGAATACACAGGCATGTGCACTGCCCTCATACACTGCATTGCTTCACACACCCACAAATGCGAACAATCACACAGCCTGTGCATTAGCGTACAGCAGAAGGTTAAACTTGAAGATGTGCATCCATGCAGAAGAGCTCTCGTTCTTACCAATTGGTTGAGGCTTTCTGTAGGACATCCTGTAGAGAGATGTGAGGCTGCACCCTTGATCAGAAAAGAGGATGAAGAAAAGTGTATGACAAATTGTAAAGAGCAATAAAAACGATGTGCACGCAGAAGGGAGAAGACAAGCTTTCTTTATGTAAGTCAGATCTTTTGCCAGCTGTTACATCACACGATTACGTGACACAGCAGGGGAGGGCCGTGTGTGAGAGAAACGACAAGGCTGAACAGTGTTTATGAGAGGAATGCACTTAATTATTATATTTATCATAGGAGAAATTTGCTTTGCATTATTCCATGCAAAAGTGCATATGGTACAGGGTTCATATGCATTGTTCACATTAAAGAGATGAAAATTTGTCATTAAGCATTATGGAACCATGTGCAACACATCATAGTTGTTGTGGTTATTGATAATTATGTAAATATTTAATGTCATATTAGAACAATCAATACAAAAAATGACATTAGCCACTTGTTACAATAAGCTAAATACTGTGAAAGTTTGGTTCAGACTGAGATCAACAAAAAACAAATCCCTCAACTGGTCTGGTGGTTCTTGTTTTACAGTCAACAGATTTTTTACCTTTCGATCACTATATTTACATTTAAGCAATGCTAAATGCAAGTGGTAAATGTTTTATACGTATCTACCGGTATTATCTTTGTGTTTTACATATACTGTCTAGTGTTGAACATTTGTCTGGATCTGGATCAATTTAACATTGGCAACAAAAGCTAAATAGTCACAGCTCTTGGTTACAACAACAAACAAAGTTATGATTAAATGGAGAGATAATCAATAATAAAAGCTTACCCTTGCTAGTCCTAAATGCATTTTTAAGCACACTTGTTGGCATAATTAATCCAAATACTAGAGAATGCCGTTAGCTTAAAATTCTTATTTACACTCGACGGAGCTGAGTATGACCCACTTTACGTACACTTTAACCCTAATAAACTCATTCACTTCCTGGTTATATCATTCTTTGGCTCACTGTTTTCTTATACCTTCAACTGATTCATTGTTTTGAGACTGTGAAGTATTACTATGCACAACATTCTTATGAAAGTCCATATTTATAATGTTTATAATGACAAGATATTTGCAGTGAATGTCTGTCAAATCAAAGATTATAGGAGACTTTGTGATATTTTTATATTTCTGACCATATGACCCAGAGGCCAGGTTCTCTTAGCCTTCTTTAGAAAGTATTAAAATTATTGCATTATAATCAGAATACAAAAATAGGAGGTAAGATTGATCTTACGAGGAATTTGACTTTGAAATGGACAGACGTTCATTCGTTCAAGTCTTAATGCTTATATTGTCTGTTTTTTGTTGATTATTTTTTTGTGGTTATTGTAACTCTGTGACTGTTGTCAGGTGACGCTGTCGTTATCATTTCATTTGTTACATTATAATGGCTCTAGAAGAACTATACAAATATAAATGTTGTATGGCTTCCCCCCTCAATGAATAAGATAAATGTTATGTCGTTTTGATCATGGCATTGATTATAACTTACTAAACTAACAAAAATGTTTATCTATGTGGTGTAGACTGCTTAAAGGGATTACAAATACACCATAACCAGTGTTTTATGGGTTATTTGTGTAGCTTTCTGGTTAAATGCATCCAAACTAACCAAAGAACTTTGACTACTAAATGCAATCGCCAAAATAAATAAATAAATATTTTTCCAAGTCCACAGCAGTCTGGAATCATTATACCTTATATTTGTATTCTGTGAAAATATCAAGGTCCTGCTGGCTTTTCAGAGAGGTGTTCAAACACATTCAAATCAATCTTACAAAACATACTTGGTGCCAAGTTAAAAAGATTTTTGTCAAATTTCAAACTCAAAGAAATGTGAGATAATTAACTCGTTAATTCAGAAAAACAGAGCAAAAACGTTTTTTCCATGAACAATTATCTCGTAATTCTGAGATAATTAACTCGTTCATTCAGAAAAACAGAGTCAATTTTTTTCCTCAAGTGAATGCAATACGCTTCCGTATGAATTTGCTCTCACAGCATTTTAATATTTTTTAAGAAGACTGTATTATCATGCTTCAAGTAACAAATACACAAATGTATACACGAGTAAAGTTCTTGGTTTTAATGCATATTGTAAACAGATGTGACCTACACAGACAATGTGATTATGATCAAGCATTCCCAATAAAACTGAAAAACACAGACCTCTGTTGGAGACCAACAATAACTGCTGAAATAATAAATACTAACTAACAAACCATAGAGATTTGTCCTAAACACACACACTGCTTATGTTCTCATATCCCAAAAAGAAAAAAATAATTAAAAACCATGGTGGCATGGTTTCTGCACATTTTTTTAACTCAAATGTAAGGCTTTTTAAGATCTGAAGAAATAATCATGAATACTGTACATTAGAGGTGTGCAATACTGACAAAAACATGCATCTCGATATTTTCAAAGATTTTGTTGCTAACAATAATTAAAAGATATTTTGCTGAATGTGTTTTTGTGCTGGTAACCATGGCTGGTTTAGACAGCTGACTTACAAAGACATTCATATTATTCATATTCTATGCGGTGGTCAGGTCACAGCAGTGACAGAAATTAACTTTTTTTATTAAGGGGCAATATTTTCCACCTTATATTGATTTCCAGGGGCATTTCTACCTATATAAGGGCATTTTGTCCTAAACTTATTAGATGTATGCATCATCTTTTATCTCAAATTCTAATATTCAAATTGCATGCAATTAGAATAATAACAAAGTATAGGGCTCACAGTATAGGGCTGTTCAATTAAATCATTATCAACAAAATCCATCTTTGCACTGCAGAGGTGACGAAGCGGCATCAAAAGTGGTATAATATATTTACAACGCATTTAATAATAATGCTATGAGATTGTTTTTTTTATTATTCAATATTTAAATATAAAATGTTCTCTAAATTTAACTTTTTAATTAAGAAAGGGGTACTTTAAATATGAAACTATGGTAAAACCGCCAGTAGGTGGTGGCAAGTCACTGTCTTAATAAGTGAGTCATTCATTTCACAAAACTACGCCCTTGCAAAAACGTAAATCACAATGTTAACTTATTGTTCATTTAACTGTTGTATAACATAAATATTACATTTGCAAACATGCTGATATATTTGGGGTAAACGGCACTCTTGCTTGTGTGATATTGTAATATATAACTACATCATATGATATAAATATAAGAGAAAAACTCATCTGGGCAAAAATGCCCGTGTATCTTGAATTTTGGGGGCATAACTGCATACATCACACAGTGAAAGCACGAGTGACAAACTCGATGTCACCTCGCATATTGTTAAAACAATAATTACGATATAATCGGCGTTACATATCGCACACCCATACGCACATAAAGAATAAACTTACATTTGGACCAACATTTACCCATTTTCTTCTCCTTCTCTCTACAGCTACGCTGTCGTCTAGGCTATGCCGCGAATTGTCGCGTGAACAATTCAAATTGAAAGTATTTAGATACATCTAAGTCAAAGTGTTATCTAAAAGATAAGACCTCTCAAAAGTAAAAATAAGACTTAAGACTTCTTATGGCCTTAAATTAAAAAATAAATAAATCTAATTTAAGGCTTTTTAAGGATCCGCGGGAACCCTGGGTGGTTCTTGGAAATGCTCAGTATTACAGGTCATCGACAAAGCAATATCTTTTTTTTTTTTTTTTTACATTTCTCTTCATTTACTAAATTGTCTTTGTGAAATATCACTGGAAATAATTCAAACATGTAACATATGTAAAGAGACCTTAAGTTGTCTTTTGTAAAGCTGAAAGGACTGGGACAAGTAGGCTACCTAAACAGCGATAAATCATTCAAAGTCAGTCAGTTATATTTATATTTGCCAGAGCAGGGCCACTGCCTTGCAGAGGCCAACATCATGGTAATTGAAATAGCAGAGACCAAAGAATGTGGCTGTGGAGATCATAAAAACACCAGCTTTAGCCAACTTGATCTTAGCATCACCATGGACATAGTCGGTAAGAACTTGACCAATCCCCCTGCAGAAGGAGAAAACACAAATTGAGTGTAACATACGTTTACATAGTTTAAATACATGACATCACTGATGAATGTGGTGCCTCATTATAGACAATAAAACACCTGATACAACAAGCATAATAGAGCAGGACTCTTCAGACACACGAGTGTGACACACACTTACCAGTGTCCGTGCAGTGTGAGAGCTGCAGCAACAGAGTAATCCACTACCGGACCAGGACACAGGTATGCGGCTGGAACCATGCCTAGCAGAACTATACTCAATACCCGTTCACCTGTCCAGTGCTTGGAGGCTGCCCTTGAACTTAAGACAGCTGAAAAACAATTCGAAAATTTCATTTAATTTGTTAACGTCCAATTGTGTAGTTCAAGAAACAGTGTCTTCATTTTTGCACAAAAGGAAATCCACTTGTCATTTTTATGATACAACTAAGTTTTAAATGTTAATGTCCTTATTTCAAAAATATAACAGCAACAGTTTCAAATTCAAAGTTTCAAAACAGCAAACAACAACCTATAAAAATCTACACTGTAAAAAAAATTCCACTTATTTTAAATAAAAAAAATGTAAGTTCTGTTGCTGCTTTAAATTAAAGGGATACTTCAGGATTTAGCATTAAGCTTTGTATTAGTAGAAAACCTGTAGTATTTTCGAATTACCATGCTTTCCACCCTCATATCCCCCTGAGACGAGAGATTTATGTATTTTTTTGTCTGGAAAAAATCCTCCAATGACGCAAAAATCGTCATTTTGCGTCACCGGAGGATTTTTTGGCCAGAGGGTAAAGACTACAGTCAGTAGTAGGGGCTGTCCCGCATGTTTTCAACCCGCCCATAGAGGGTGGGATCTCACTCACAGAATGTACAGATAGTGTCAGACATATTTTTTTGGAAGCTAAGCTAGCAGGCTCTTGTTCTGTGGAGAAAGCTGAGTAGTAGGGGTTGCCATCCTCTTTTTCCCGGACATGTCCGGCCGTCGATGTCCGGGATTCAGCTTTTGCTTTCTGCAGTCGCCATTCATTGTTTACATGCACACCTTTTGTTTCAATCTAACTGAATTCATTCCAATTGGTGAATCTGAATGTAGTGTTTACATGAACGCTAAACAAGTGATCGGTTGATGTGCGTTTTAACATTGATAATAAAATTCCCGCTCCTCCTTGAGAGATACGAGACCGGTGCGTCTCACAGGTCTCTTTAGGACATCCTCAGACCTCAGACATATGAAGACAAGGCATCATGCCTCAGACTAAAAGGCTTCAGTCATTGGACAAAACGGCATCGCGTCTCAGACTGAAAAGCTTCAGGTCTCAGGAAAAACAATGTCAGGTGTCAGGTCTCGTACAATTAGGCATCAGACGAAACCATAGACAGGACGAAACAGCCTCAGACAAAAAGGCATCAGACATAAAAGGCATTGGACGAAACGGCATCAGACGAAACAGCCTCAGACAAAAAGGCATCAGACTAAAAGGCATCAGGCGAAACGGACTCAGGTGGAGTTTAGCATTCGCATTGCCCTGCCCCATGTGACATCACGATATGATATAGGCCTAATTGTATATATATATATATATATATTTTTTTTTTAAGTATATATTTTATACATTTGTATATCAAATGTTACACTAATTACGTTGTATACAGTTGAGAACATGCATTTCGCGAGTTTTATTTGTACGTTTAAAAAGTTAGATGACAGGCCTATTTCAACTAGCTATAGCTTGTATGTTGACAAACTATCAATAGTTTTCACGATCGTGAAGTTAAAGTGTTCTTTCGAGCTATTAGACTGCTTGATTAAAACTGCTTGATTTAACATTGCTGTAAACATTTTTCATTTTTTATTGGGATATATTCATGGGCGGCGCT